GTCTAAAGGTGCGGGCCAAGAAAAACGCACCAACACTAAATATACAACAAGAGAAAGTGGGCGGATCAGGGGGAGGAGGAGGGAGTCAAAAAACAGCTTCTCACTCCGAGTAATCGAGGCGAATGATGAGCACATGGCTAGGGAGTTAATGTGACTTGTAAAAACCCTCAGAGGGGGTCAAGCGTAATGGCCATTGACCCCTGACCCAAACCCAGTCCCCCTTGATTGTGAAATAAACACGGGTCAAAGAGAGAAGGCATAAAAATTCTATTTGCGAGCAAATATTTTGTTTACTTTAGATTGTAAATAGCTTTTTAGTTTTTAATTTTTAACCCCAATAACGCCGAACGGCCGAAACGTTGTGCATTAAACTCGTTCAGAACAGTCAAGAGTTGGTCTCTTCGTTACGTCCATATCGTACACTTTACCACAAATTCACGTCGAGACATTGTATCCTGTGGATCCTCTTACTGAGAGTTCGTCGTTAGGTATACCAATTTTACCCCGTGGGGGGAAGTCTACCTTGGCACTGACAACATGAGACACTGACTTTCCACCCACTCTTTCTTCAGTTGAGTTCCTCGAGCGGGAGCAAGAGAGCTACGACAACTTCGTATTTGAGTGGAAAACAACTGGAGACTTTATTACCATGACCATGATGCATAGCGCACCGTAACACTTCCACCTTCCTCTTTTAATAAATGTGAGCTTTGTGGCTGTCCTGATCATTAATCAAGATTATCAAGTGCATGCTTACATTCCTGGAAAATGAATTAACGTGTTGATGTTACAGACAAAAATCAAAGTGGCTGTGATCTAATGAACTTGGATAATGATTGTTGAAAGGCTAAGAATGGACTTATTGTATCAATTTATAGCCTAGGAGGTCCACTCCCAAGAAAATTTTTACAATGCTTTTTTTTTTTTCTTTCTTTTTACAAATACACACTTTTATAAAAATTTTTTCAAAGTTTTATTTTTATGTCTTAGTCAATGATAAAAAGTTTTCATGTGGCAAAGATTATAAAGGTACTGTGATTAAAAATAGGAAATTAATTTTGTGTGGATAAACATGTTCCAGAGGCTGAGATGTCCACAGTCTGCATATTACCACCGTTCAACAGGAAGGAGAAGGAAGGAGGTGGATCTGTTAAGGCAAACAAAAGTAAGGAAAAGGAAAATTCGAGACCCCCAACGAAGCTTATGTAGTTAAGCTGATTTACGATTTATTCTTAGCTTTATTAAAAAGTAATACTATTTTAATACACGGTAACGAAGTGGCTGACGTAGTTGTTTACAACTACGAAAAAACAACTTGACTCTGAAAGCACTACAACTGCAACTGCACAGTAAGTACTTGGTGTAATCCTTGATGTTAATGAATGCAAATGACCATGTATTCCCATACGTTCTTCTGTATTGATGCATGTATGAAGAATTTCACCAAGTACCTACCACCTGTAGACTTAAGACCGCTGTGTTACTTGGAGACTGAGTCTTGTACTGTGAAACAGGTTTTGCTTTCACAAATAAATGGATGGACGAGGAACAACTTGATTAACTTCCTCTGGGAAAAAGGCTTTCCTGGGGGGCACTAGCTGGCTGCGGGAAGACCGGGATCTATTACGGCTATTGACTATCTTTGAGACAATGACTAACAACAACGATGTTGGCAACGTAGATTTAGTCTGTAAGCACTACTGAACTGACTTGGCCCTAACCTGGCCTGACTAAAGAAAGCTTCACAAAACAGCTCTATTTAAGCCTAAAGTACAAAGGACTTGATAATGCCATGAATTATCTAAAGGATCACGTAATCCACTACAACGATCGGCAAGGCAGGAATTTCGCCTTTTACAAGATTAATCACTTTCGGAAAGCTCTGTTGGATGACAACTATACAATAGGGACAGGCCTATTACAGTTATGATCCGATAACAACTGTGTACGGCTGACTGAATGGGAACTGGTAGCATTTACGCTCTGCTGAGCTTAGCAAAATCTCGCAGTTTCTACGTTGAATTATATGTATATATATTAGCGCTAGTCTAAAAACTCGATAACTTAAAATCTATCGTTACAGTACTAACTCACTATTCCACAACATGAACCTCCGACGCACGTCTTTATAAGAGATGAGTGATAGGAGTGGTTCGTCAGTGGAACATGGAAACTCAGTCTGGTTTGTGAAAACTGATTTGTTGTTTTGTAGCAACGGTATTAGCTGTAGAACTCAGGTAGCGTTCGAAAGTTCAAACGCCTTATTCACGACATCAGAATAACTCACAACATTCGGAAAGAACTAGCTGGGTAAATTTATCGAAGGGAAGTACCTGCACTTCACAGAATTTCACTAAAATTAAGCACACTTTAGCTGAACGCTAAGATATACCGAGTCTGGGACCAGGATTAAATTTTTAACACTAATGCTAGGTAGAATTGGCAGGTCATGTAACATGGCAGTCTGTCTGTTTTTCATTATAAAAATAAGCATATATTTGCAGGAGAACTGATTACCGCGCTTTTCAATCATGTGCCAATGCAAATGCCGATTCCAACTATATAATATAAAATTTATAAAAGACCAATAAAGATAGACCATAAATGCAGACCATAAATGATAACAAAAGCGAAATTTCGGATCGGCCAGATGCCCTTTACTATTGTAGAGAGGCTATTGGTAAAATAAACAACAGCCTTGCATCAAATTCTTATTCAAATTCATTAGCTACAAACATCTCACCATACAGAATGTGATACGTTATAGCTACGCGATCCTCGCCAGCATCCTCGTGCAGCAAATGGGCCCAATTACCCTTTCTTCATTTTAACAAAGACTCTACACCTTTAAACATAACATGCAAATTGGTAGAGCCCAGCAAAAGTTTCCAATTTTCTAAATTATACTTTCAATAACTATCTCAAAAATCGAGTTAAGACTAACATTTGCTAGAATTGAGTTTTCTCATAGAAAGTCAGCCAAAGCATGGAATCCATTTTCATTTAGCAAATCGTAGAGTTCACCCACGCTTAAGCTGCGCTGCTTGCTAACATAAACAAGAACTTCTAGAACCGGGTTCAAAGTACGCTGGTCAAAGAACTGAACCTCTCCTGGAGTCAAACGCAGTGCTTCGGCAAGCAACTTCCAGTCATCACGACCTAGGACAAAAATTGTTTTCGATTAGATGCAGTTTGGGTCAGATAATCCATGTTACCTACTCTTGACAGATCTTCACGACTAATATAGAGTATAAAAGCAATAAAATAAACCATCAAAACATAATAATGATGAGCTGAACATCAACTGAACAGATTTAAGTTAGGTATTGGACTCTGTTCGATGCCATTATAATACGGAGCGCCAGATGGTTAATGATTGACTATGCCTGAAAGACGTTTATCTGATCTATCAATTTTAGTTCGCCTTTGTACTGTTCACACGTTGCTTTGTCCCACCCGTCCCTACTCGCGGGCCGCATCGGGGGGGGGGGGGCAAGCCTTATTCGGCATCTGCGCCTTTACTCCTCCCTTGATGCGGCTCTTCCCTTGCCGGCAAACAATAAAGTTGATTTATGTTACATGTATGTATCACCTTTATTTATCACCAGCGTTGGATTATTGAGGCAATTTAGTCTTTGTATAACGTAACCTTTGAAAGGCACTTTGAGTAAAGAAAGAAACCATGTAACATGGGAAAAAGAATTGTTTTAGGTTATTTAATCTGTTAATTTCTCCTGAGGTAACTTTGTTAAGTAAATCTTTTAAAGCGATTGACTATTACCAGACAAGTTCATTGTAAGCTTTCTTCCTATTGAATCTGGAATTTCTCGGACCTGAAGGTTTTCTGCCAACAGAGGACCTAAAGGATAAGAAAGGAAAAATTATCATGATGGGAAGGGAAAACTCTAGCTGGTCTTGAGGGCTAGCTCGTATCCACCCTATCACTCTAACAATGGCTCACAACGGCACTCTCTGCATCATAGTCAAACATTTTGGCGTGTACTCAAAACAGCCACCTGGTACGAATGTTTTCAAAATGACAAGAATTGATTATATAGCACGCAACTTTGATCCTACGCTTGGAAAAAAAAATTGCGTCGAGCGGACTACAAAATTCGCCATTTTTAGAAAATTTTTGCTACCAAGTCACAAAAAACGGTTAAAGACGGTTAAAAGAAGTGTGAAACGCGCATGATGCGCTATTATCTTTAGCTTTAAAGATAAAGAAATAATGCCTGACTTTGAATAAACGCACCAGTGGTTCCGGCTGGTGTAATCTTTCTGAGATGGTGGAAGACGTCCCGCCTATTTGAAGCTATGGCTTTCCTTGCCAGACTACGGATCATCACCCTGGTCTCCGAGCACGGTTGTTCAAAATCAACTTGGCTAGGCTGCAAATTTTCTTTTAGTTGAAGAACAATCTTTTCGGCATCGCATGATGGTGTCAAAACGGATTCCACAACACGATCGGGAAGGGGTACAACTGCTTAGAAAGTAGAAGATAAAAACGACAAATCTTAATGCACTGTATCCGTTTTTTCGGTTCAGTTTGATTGAAATACCAGATTCTGCCACTGAATGATCAAGGCTTCTAAACTTACGCACAAAATGTTTAAAAGGAGTTAGGGAATCTTGCACATTTGGTACCTCCCGCCCTAGATTTCTTTAAGAGAGACACTTAAACTTCTTAAACCTCCAATATAAACTTTTACCGATGATTCAAACTAGCAGAAGCGAGCAGTCCCGAAGATGAAGAAGTTCTTTCTATTCTGCTAGTAAACAGCAGTGAGACAAAAAGGCCATGTCCGTACAAAAATCATTTAGGACAACCTAAACGTAAGCAGAAATGTGAGACATCACTGCAAAAAACAAACAAATTACACCAGCCCAGCTCTGATTACCAAACGACGTTGTGGCAATTTCGTGTGTACAAGCCATTTCTTCAATTTACTGATGAATTACAGTCAATACAGGTGGAAACAGGGCTAAATCTCTACCACTTGCCGCAACGTAATCGAATACGCTCTAAGCTCCGAACGCGGGAAAAATGATAGACATGCAGTTCATAGATGGTGAAACTGTGACGTTCTGAGTAAAATCACTCTGCAAAGTGACTAATTTCCGATCCAGTTTATAATGGTGGTAGGACCGAGTGGAGTCCAATTCGGTGTGTAATTGTACAAGTAAAAATTCAATTTGTCAATTACGAGTATGACTACAGACCAAACTGGACGACGCGAAGTTCTGTCACCAATTCATCATAACCATTACAATTTCCGGAAAAAACAATTACATTTCAAGAAAATATCTTAGACAATGTCAAGAGTAAAAAATTTCATTTTTGGAGTTCTCCAGTTTTTTTAGGATAAGTGGTCGTGGCTGTGGTTATTTTAAAAAATTCTGTAATTAGTGGATTTGGCTGAATGGACTTAGTATGATTGGCTGCTTTAACTGTCCGATTACAAGTGTCAAATTACAGCCAACTGTCTGATTACAACTCGACAGAACAATGAGTAAAAAATAAAGCAGCTAATGCACCAATCACATTTGAGGAAATTGTAATGGTTATGATATGTAACGATATCCTGTATCTTATTTGAGCCACGGATTGAAATTAAATAAAGCCATGATCCCTGAATGTGAGTTGCAATTTAAGAAATTGCAGAAAATAAGCTTGAAAAAAAAATTCAGGCTGAGAAAGGATTCGACCCCATGCCCCCCAGATACTAGTTGGTAACTGAGCTTCAAAGCCAGATGTTGGAAGCGGGGTAAATTTAGTGGATTCTTCCCTTGGTCCCAAACTGACGAGGTTGTCGTTCGCTTACCGGTGGTCACATGACGGTGGTCAAGTCGAAGCTATTTGATGGAAGGTCTGAACCTTGTGCTAGACACCTCTGCTCCAGCGTCAGACTCGACAGCTGTACATCAATATCTTTGCTATCTCGAGGCTGCGTGCAAAGAGTTTGCTGAGCCTCACCAGAAGTAGAAGCTTCGTGACCTATTAAAAGATAAAGATAGTTTATAGGAAAAAAGGATAGAATACTCTTTACATTCTTCATGATGTTCCTTCCTGGTACTTGAATGAGTACCACTCATTCAAACTTTACATTTACACATTAATTACTTTCTTCTATGAACCTGGGGATATAATGGCAAATTGGTCTGAATAAATCATGATCCCAAACACAGCAGAAACAAGAAAAAACGGATATTTTGTCAAGCGAAAATAGACTTTTTTTGAGCTGAAAATAATGTTGAAGTATTTTGAATGTTTCTTGAAATAAATGCTGGAAAAGTCTCACTTGGTGTTTTTTTTCCGATTGATGACCTCCAGTGCCTGGAAATAAAATTCATAAATGTGAGTGATAATTTAAACAAACCTGACAGTTATTTAAATTTCGTCTCATAGCTTTTAATAAATTTCTCCAAATTTCACCCAACTTCGACAAAATATCACTCAAGGAAGAAAGCGGATTTCTAATTTATATATTTTTAAAAGAACGTATTGATTAATAGCTCGATCAGTTATGGAAAAGAGGTTTAAAAAAAAACAATAAGTTTCACTAAGAGAATATGAATTGTTTATTCTCTTGGCAATTAAGCTTTATATAAACGCGACAAAATTGTATCACCAATAGCTGCTTCTGGCTTTACCATGAGTAGTATGAAACTATTCTCTCTTGTGAAAAGACGAAAAAATAAAGCTCTTGCACGTATTACTTGAAGACTCGCAAACCTTGATCCACAGCGTACATTTCTCTTTACAGCTTTCTGACAACGAGCGACAGGGCTTTTTCCTGCAAACGAGGGGTTTCTTCTCCAGATCTATATAATGGGCACAATCCGGCGTCATGACTGCATTCTCGCTTGCTATATCCGGTCGTGCACATGGCAAACTCCCGGAGGTTGAACGCAATTCACATGTAACATAGTACTTCAATAGAACTGAACCCAGCCAATGACACTCTCCCTTCAGTTTCACCAGGGATTCCTTTAATTCTCAGAGAAAAAAATGAAAAATGTTGTTAGAGGCTCATTTGGGAAGCTTTTGGATAAACCTCAGATCATGAACGCGCCGCAGAACTTTGCGCTCAAGGCATGTCTCAGTATTATCACAACAAGAGTAATTCCTTGATAAAAAGGAGGGAAATGTGTCGCATAAAGAACATAGAAATTGGAAGAATGTCATCGTAAGGTGATCAGCTCTCGAACCAACTCGCACAAACTTAACTAGTTCCTCATCATCACTTTATGTGTAGTATGTACCACACGTCTCGGTGCAAAATGAGCTCCTCGCACTTCTTGTCATTTTTACATTTCCACTTTAAAAGCCAGAAAATTAATAAAAAAAAAATCCTGAGGCGAACCACTTAACCCCATGGTGAGCGTCTAGTTGACGAAATAAGTCGACGAGTTTCGATATGGAAAGTGTCCTTTAGGTTCTTCTCATTTTACTCGTGAAAAACATAACATTTCTCAACAATGTCACTTTTAAACGTGCTCCTTGAAACATACGGACCACGCTGCATCACAATTTCTTTAATTTCAAGCTCTGCAGAAAGCCACTGTGGTTTCTTTTCCTTTGTGTGGGGCATTTCCTTGGGTATCTTTAATATAAAATCCCTTAGTCTCGCAATTGTTTGGTTTTCTTCGTCAGATGCCGTACCAGCTTTTGTATTGTCCACAACAAAATCGTCTTGTGCGAATGCAATGTGTTCTAACAGAATTCTAGGGCAATGTCTATAAAGCGTTTTCACCAACGATTTCATCTTCTGGCTGAGGTTACCTTTCACTTCATCAGCCTTTGTACCCACCAGAATTACAGACCTGCATTTGCTTTTTCCATACTGTGCCTTTATAGAGTACACCAAGGTCAACCATCTATTTATAGAATCCAAATTTGTGTCTTCGCACTCAGGTGAGGACACTCTTTCTTCGTCATGACCACTCACTTTGACAAATGACCGCACAAGGTCAGATAACTCTTTGGTGAGGTCAATAACCAGAAGATAGATAGCCTCTGGTGACATAAACAACGGATGAATGGCGTGATAAACAGCTTGGCCGGCAAAATCCCATATTACTGGCCACACCCCTTCACCTCCGTTACACTTGTCCTCCATAAGGGCAGCAATCTCTTTAGAACAGCTTTTTATTAAATCCTCTCTGAGTTTAGATTTCGCCATTGCTTCATTAGATGCTTGCTCGCCCTCCATCGCGTGTACTGGAAAGTCAATCTGAGTGGCTGCCATGATACATAACAAGTATTTATTGAAATTGAAAAGAGTAAGTGTTTTTTACTCCATCCTCAATTTAAGTTACGTAATGATACATTCTGTAGTTTATGGACCTTAATGTTCTTATTCAAATGTTACCAGTGATGAAAACAAGCAAAAATTGAGATTATCACAATGTTACCTTGTCGTTTTTGCTCTGCTGATCTGTTCACTTCTTCCTCGACAATCTCCTCTCCGCCAAAATCAAGGAAATGATGACCTTGGTTTTGATTTTCGGCTTCAGAATGCGACTGAAATTCCTGTTGCTCTGTTGACATTGTTTGTTCTTCTTTAACGATCACTTCGGCACATTTGTGATCAAATGCAGTAGTGTGCTGCTGTGAAGCTAAATTCCTCCACGGCTCCGTACCAGCGTTCTTGATAGGAAGACTCATCTGCACCCCATCTGTACTGGGTTCCTCTGCATCAAATGGCTCGCCTCTCAAAGATTTCCCAAGGCTTGTCTTACCGACCCGGTCTGGACCAATGATTGACACTTTAACGCGCTTATCACAGATCTTACAGTGCTCTAAGGCGCGGAGGAAAGCTTCAGTTGGAATCGAGGCTTCAATTTTACTGGAATCCCTGAAGGTTGCAAGTTACAAAATGTACTTTAACACTTTTTTTAATTGAAAAAAAATGTGCGCAGGGGGGTCAGTTTAGAAAACATTTGAGAAAAGCAGCCTTTTAAGACCGTTAATCTGGAAAAATCGAGTCAAGGCCGGCGGCAATGGAATAACGAGTTTCTTCGTAGCTAGCCTACATAACATTACAGGTATAGTATTTTCGGTTTCCATCTTTTTTTTTAAATTTACAATATTTGGAAATTAGCACAGAAATCCAGCAGCAGCAGCCCTATGGGACGGAATTTGATGTATCGATGTTTAATCTGCCCGTACAAAACTACACAGAAAACGCTATCTGAAAATAGCTCCCTAACAATTTTTCGGTTTTCTCTTGAAGTTATTTGTGCCACGCAACTGGTCATGTGACTCTGAATATGCTGTAAAAACGTATAGGAAAATGCTAATTCCTACAGTTTTACTTTCATTTTCAAACATTTGCCTATCATCTCAAGAGAAGAACGAAAATTTTTGTGTTAGACATGATAAATTCGCAGTAAATCCAACTATAGAAAGATCTGTGATTGACATACGAGTCAATCAGTGAAGTTTTAGTAAAAGGATTATGGTTTGAAGCGACCGTCGTCAAAATTTAGAAAGAGCGAAAAATTTTGCCAAGTTTTGGTTTGCCAAAAATTGGAAAATATTTGAATTCACTTTGGCGCCACCTGGCTCTAATGTTAAACACTTCTTAGCACATGTTACTTCCTTTGGACCTTATGTTAGGTATTTTGAACTGACGTCGAACAAATAAATGAGAAAGTTGTGGATTGCTCTTTTTCCGTGCTTAGCTAAAATTATCTAAAGCTATTTTCATTTAATTTTAATTTCCCAAGTTGTATGATTGTTACAGAGACTAGTTCTTTTAAGAATTAATTAATTAATTATTAAAATTATTTGCTTGAACACAGATTGAATTTTCATCATTAATTCGGCCATCATCCTACTAATGTTTTTTTTTACTATTTAGCCTTGAATTTGTCTGACTTTTGTATAAAATGTTGTATAGTGGCTCATCTTTTGTTTGTTGTTATTACTCATGTGGTTTCGTTTGACTGATCCGGCTAAGCTTTTCGAGCTAATAATCAACTGGTACGTCACACAATATTGGAAGGTGATGTCAAATGGTTAAAGAAGAATTAAAACATACCATGAGGTAGCTCTAAGAAGCCTCTGATATACGCTCGAAACGTCAGCTTTTTAACTCTTTACGGTGGCCAGTTTACTATTTCAACTTAGTTGATATCACCAAATTACCTCTGAAACATTGCCGCATCTTGATAGCACGCTCTCCATACTTTAATGCTTATTCTATCAAATTCAAGACACAATTCCTGTACACTGGATCAAGATCCTCTCCTGGTAACGGGTTGGCGATCGTAAACACGTTTTTCCGGTCGCTACCAGTGACTTTAACGACCGCCTCTTTTGATCTCTCCCTTTCTTCATCGGCGTTTGGCTTCCTCTGGACTTCGTCATCAAACGTTATCACAGTAAGGATGGTGATTACTACAACAGAACGAGAAGGTTTTCAAATGAAGTGCATCTTCCAACGATGTAAGTCGTGATAAATGTGCTTAAAAGAGGTTACTTGGCCCAGTATGTCCAGTGCAATTGCTAGGTAAATGTGTTGGAGGCTGGAAGTTACAATTGTGACTAATAATAATAATAATAATAATAATTTAATATTTATATTGCGCAAATTAACATGTGGATATGATCAAATGCGCATCACAACACTTCTCGGAGGACTTTGGCCGGACTGCATCAGCAGTTTACAAACAATCGAAGGAAACTTATTTAAAGATGCCCGCTGCTGATCCCCCCCAATTCCCAGTAAACAGGCTATACTGCATCACAGTAATCTCGGGAGTGGGTTCTTTAACGTCCCCTGCCTAACTAAATTAACTAATAGATGCAGGAGACGGGACCTACGGTTTATTCGTCCTAATCTTAGAATACTAGAATGTCTATCCATTTCTTGATATTATAGAAAGGTAGCACATTCTCCTCAGTTATTTTAAGACCTTGAATGTTGGTCTGAAAGAAAGAAAGGGAGAAAGAAAACTGGTGGGAAGGTTACTTTGCCTAAAATGTTC